AGGGAGGGAGGAAGGGAGGAAGGAAGGAAGGAAGGAAGGAAGGAAGGAAGGAAGGAAGGAAGGGAGGGAGGAAGGGAGGGAGGGAGGATTTGCAAAGCAAACTATTCATTCACCAGTCAGTTTACATTCAAAGCACGACTGGCCAACTCACTATAGGTCAGACCCACTCCTGGGATTATAATCGTGGGCCAGACAGACACAGTCCTTGTTCTCGTGGAGCCTATATTTGATGTAAAAAAAACAATTTTTTTTTCTTGGTGCCACATTCTCAGAAAATGCCTACTTGCTGTGACTACCCCAGAAAGTGGGATTTGGAGAAGGGAATAGAGACACAGGGGTAGGAGTGGGGAGGCTTTCACTTCTTCCATCATACATTTCTGTGCTACTCTGAATTATTTTTATAATGAGCATTTATCACTTTGTAATTTTTGTAAAACCAATAGAGGAAACAAAATAAATGAATTGTGTGCGCGCTCGAGCACACACCATCCATAAAGAGCCAGGCGGGGAGGAGACACCAGGAGGTAGGAGGGAATCCATGTGGGAGATGGATAGCCTCCTCAGTCCCTGGGAGGCGGCAGCTGCAAGGGATTCTGGAGAAGTTGCTACAGTGCTCCTTCCTCCAAGGGCTCCTGAGCCAGATCCAGGTCCAGCCTGAGCATGAAGCGCCCCCTAGGTTCTGGGTACAAAGGAGGAAAACACCAGGGGGCAGGCATGGGGCCCACTTTGTGAGCTTCTAGCTCACCTCCCATCTCCGTCATCTTGTCCAGTCCCCTCGTCCCTGCTCCTTCCAGGCACAGGACAACTCACGCTCCTTGTATATTAATAGGGAGGTCATGATGGAACTGCAAGCAGTCCCCTTCACCTTCTTGTGCCTCAGCTCTCTCATCTATAAAATGGGGATGATGCAAATGATAGTCATGGTGAGGATTCAGTAAGTTAATACAAGGAAAGTGCTTAGCCTAGTGCCTAGCACACAGCAAGAGTTTAGTTGATGTCACCTGTCCTATAGTTGTTATTAGTATTGCCTCTTACCAGGGGGATCCACCAAGGCAAGAAGTATAAGAAACTTTCTTGCTGTTTGTGCTGGGTCCCCAGTGCCTTTGGGTTATGATTATCATCCAGTGTATCTGCATTCAGAGCTCAACATCTAAACCCAAAGAGCCTTAGAGATTCCACAGCCCAACCCCCCATTTCACAGATGGAACCACTGAGGCTCAAGAGGCAAAACCTGAGCTCCTTAGCTCACTGGGTGATATAGAGAGTGGGAGGCACAGGTGTGTGGATTCATCCCCCTGCCTTGTGTCCAGGGGCGTCTTGGTAGGAAGGATAGCTCTGAGGAGGTACTTAACAATGCCTGCACCAAAGCAGCCTTGCTAGTACAGTTGGATTTTAAACAGAAAATACCCCGCAGTGTAGAAATGATGCTATTAAAATTTTCCTGTGGTTTGGTATTATTCTCTTGTGGATGTGGTAAATGCAAATTTCTTGCTGTTGCATGTATTTTCATCACGGACCATACGTTGTTTCTTTTTTTTTTTTAACTTTTTTGATTTTAAAATAATTATAGCCTTATGAGTTGCAAAGATGGAGTTCCCACATAACTTCCATCCAACCTTCCTAACATTGCATCTTATATAAGCACATTGCAATGATCAAAACCAAGAAATGAACATGGATGCAATGCTATTAACTGAACTCCAGACTTTATTTGGATTTTTACTCTATTCCATGATCCAATCGAGGCTACCACGTGGCATTCAGTCATTGTGTCTCTTTATTTCTCTATTATCTGCGCTACATTGAGTTCAGCCTCCCAGGGTGCTCTGCAGGGCAGAGAAACAGGGGGAGTGGTGCACAGGGGCAGATGGAGAATGCCCCCCCACAATCAACCTATCACCTCAACCTGCTTCTTCTCCACCCATCATACATCTATTATCAGAAACTGTTTATTTATGGCTTGTTTATTGCCTGCTCCCTCAGTATAGTGCAGTTTCTATGGGGAAGGGACCTTAAACATCTTATTTATTACTACCACCCACATTCACAGTTCCCAGCACATAGTAGATGTGCAATAAATATTTTTGCATAAATAAAAAAAAGAATCAGTAGTCAGAGGCCACACCTCTAAACCTACAGCTGTTTTTCTCCTTTCAGAATGCTTCTTGTGGCTGAGATGATTTGTGGCATTCTAGAGTTGGGATTCTCCAAGGCAGCCACTCCAGCACCTCTTCCCCATATGACAACCCCATCAACCTGGCTGAGCTGACTCCTGGCCCGACAGTGATGTTCCATCTGCTGATGCTTATGCCATCTCTCAACTCCCAGCCCTGAAGCCCGGCTCACCCGGCCTCCCTGCTCACCTCTAAGCAGGCTTCCTTGCCCTTGTTCCTCTGCACAGGTGTGGGCCCCTTACTCCCACTGTCACTTATTTCTCTATATCTCCACTGTCCAAGGTAGTAGCCACTGGCCATGTGTAGCTGCTAAACACTTGAAGTGTGGCCAGTCTGAATCAAGAGTGCAAAGTACATACTGGAATTCAAAGAGTGTGAAAAAAATCAATGTGAAAGTCCACGCCTGGTCCTGAATGATTATTGTGTTCTGCAGTAACTTGGGTGTTACCCTAGCTCGGATAACATGGCGTGGCTCCAGGTGTAGGCGTCACTCACCTGCTCCTTTGTAATCCTACCCTTTTGCTCTTTTAGGGATAGAATGTTCCATGGAACCTCCCCTTGTGGGATCCCCATATAAGAATAAAGAATTCTAGTGTCTCTCTCTCTTTCCATGGATCTTTAAGGAGAGAGCCGTCACGGATTTTGAAAAGGTACTTCTGTGTGTTTGTGTGCTTTCTTTGTCATTTTCTTAAGTTATTGGAAGAGTCAGATTTTGTGACCCCATTATTAGGCTTCCAGTTAGGATAGATGGCGATTCACCTGTTTGCTTTTACTTCTTATCAAACTTCAAATTACGTACGTGACTCACCTCCTTTTCTCTTAGCCAGCTCCGCTCTAGACTAAATGTCTCCATGAGCCTCTGTTTCATTTGCCACAGAATCTCCAGAATCAGGCATTGAGCTGGCATGTAGTAACTGCTCAACAAATACCTGCTTATTAAAGGAATATCTCCTGCTAGAGCTTTTTTTTTTTTTCCCCAGGGAGGTCTTGAGCTCTCAGAGGACAAAGCAGGGATCCTGTCCACTCCATAAGAAAAGCACAGAATGACAGTTGGGTAAGGCGTACTTTTTTTTTAGTTGTAGATAAACGCAACACCTTTGTTTATCTTATGTGGTGCTGAGGACTGAACCTAGTGCTCACATGTGCAAGGCAAGCACTCTACCAGTGAGCCACAGCCCAGTCCAAGGCACACATTTTTGAATGAAGGAGACCTGGAAGGTTGGCGACTGACTGAGGCTCCTGAAATGACCCTTGATGGGGGCTGATGTGGGAAACAGGAAGTAAAACCCAAGGATCAGACGGAGAATAAATGACCACGTTACCTTCTAACAACAACCACTAATGCAAGATCTTTAGAAGAACATTGGACTATAACAGAAGAACTACAGGACCCTGGTGGGGAAGTTCCCTCCTCCCCTGGACACTGCTGGATGCAGGTGGGAGGACATTATTTAAAAAATATGTCCATGTCCCTTCATTGGTCTAAACCTCAATGACTATTGGTTTCAGTGACTGTGTTGTCAAGAACTAAAAGCACACTTCATGCTTAAAAGATAATTACTGGGTGCACTGTTGATTTGTAAAATAATGATAGAGCAGTTATCTAATATAGTCAAGTTCACTATTTCCTTGACTTGAGTATTCCACAGGTCATATCCTAACTCTGGAACAGAACAACTACACTTGATTTGAGGCATCAGCCCATTTCCCATGACCAGCCTTTCCACTGCCTCTCTATAGAAACTTACTCATGCCATCGAGATTGAGTTTTCTCCAATGATAATTTTCTCCCTGTGTGAATTATTAATGACAAAGTCTCTCCTTATATATCTACTCACTATTCTGTGGCCCGTCCAGATGTTGGAAGTCGCAACCCTTAGAAAGAGGGTTGCATGAAAATTTGCTGCATTGAAGGGCAAATAAGTGTGCTTACTAACTAGGTCATCATAAATATTCCGGTGCAATTTATGCACAAGGTGCTCTGGCAGGAAGTGAAGTCACAGGGGGAGACAGCCCCCTGCCCTCCGCTGGTGGTGGCTTGCAGTCTGGCTGGACAGTTGAGATGCTCATCTATGTTGACAAAATCTAGCCATTTTTGCTGAAAATATCACCTTAAATTCCACATCTGAGGCTGTGGAGTGGCATATTTTTGAACATGTATCTCAAACCTGACCTTTGTAGCTTGGATCTCAGAAGCAAGTTCAAAATGTCAGTTCAGAAACAATAGCTTCTAAATCTCTAATCAACCATGCTTAGGCTTCTCTGTATTCCTTTCAGCTGAATTTCTTGTCTTGCAAAGGTTTTTTCTTTTTATCAATTTACGAGTGAAGATTCATTTTGTTTGATAAAAGAGAAAAAATGAGAAGCCCTAGACGGTCCACATTCATCTTGCTTTCAGTTTATGTTTCATTACAGATTTCCATTACATCTGACTCTCACATTAACAAATCTTTGGATACATCGTTTTGGAGTTAAGACAATAATTTGCCTACGAATTTGACTAAAAAAATGGGTAATGCTGAAGATCCATCATACAGATATAATTTGCTACTGCTGTGATCATTTTCAGTAAAATGATCCAATTATACTCCACATAGCTTGTTATTAGGTTCCTTCCCTCAGCCAGCTGGAGAGAGAAAATAGTGTCATTAGTAAATGGCTAAAGTTTCCTTTGCACATCTCAAGGTCTGATTATGACAATGAATTGTAGGGACATCAAGCTCCAAACCCTGTAATGATTTGTTTACTCAACAAATACATGTTAAAGCTTTGCACTTTGCAAGACACTGCTAGGTATGAAGAGGAGGAGGAGGAGTTACAAAAGGTGAGAGACAGGAGTTTTCCCAGATTGAGAGCCTGCAATTGCCAGGTGGCTAAAATAATTGAGGTGAGCACAGGGCTCAGGTCCCCCATCTATTTCCTGGTGCAAAGGTAATACTGCTTTGATATAGTCAGATCATCTGAATTATTACAGTACAGAAACCTGGAATCTGACTTGAAAAACATGGTTGTTCTCCTATGCCCCTATGCTAATCAGGACCCCTGACCAGAATGGCAGCCCAGCCCCCACAAAGCTTACAGTCTAGGAGGCAACAGTAGACAATTTGACACAGAGTAGAATGAAATTAGTGGTGTGATAGAAATAGCTTCTCTGTTTTAGAGAAGCAAGGAGAGAGAGCCCTCTAACTATGGCTCTCAGCAAGGTCTTCTCCTGGGAGACAGGTAGGCCATAGACATTCTTCCCTTTGAAGACCCCACCCCAAGACACATCAGTCATATTAAAATTTCCAAGTTCCAGTATTAAATAGAGCATTTTGTTGTTCAAAATATTTGAATGAACTTTTTTTTTTTAAAAAAAAAATATTATTTTGATTTTGTACTTTTCCTGTTTGGGAGCTGATTAGGTCTATCTCGTCTACCAACATCGTCTCCTGAAAACCCTGCAGGTTCTGATGGATAAAATAATTCTAGAGTCAGAGATGGTATCATAGATCTCGATAAATAAGGATATTTTCCTCAACAGAAAGGAAGATGAAGGATTTTCCAGGAAGAATGGATAATGGGAGAAGTTTCAGGAACAGTAGAGAAAGAATAACATACTCAGCCTTTGCCAAAGGCAGGTTAGCGAGACGTCTGGAAAGATTGGAAACTCGGTGTGGATTTTAGAGTTTATGCTCCAGGATGTGAGGAGACACTGAGAGTTCTGAGAGAAGCTGGACCTGTCCAGAATGCTGGAGGGAGATGAATCCCAGCAACTCAGGAGGCTGCGGCAAGAGAATCACAAGGTGAGGCCAGCCTCAGCAACTTAGCAAGAACCTGTCTCAAAATAAAATATTAAAAGGCCTGGGAATGTAGCTCAGTGGTAAAGTGCCCCTGGGTTCAATCCCCAGTACTAAAAAACAGCAAAAACAAAACCAAAAAAAAAACCTTGGTTAGAAAAATAAGCCAGCTTAGTATAGAATCCCTGTTTGCTTCATTTCTTCTACCTCCTCAGAGCTCCTCACTTTCCCTGCCTCCAACTTCCCCAGGACCACATTCTACTCATCCTGCCTGGCTTCCCACCATCCTGGACTTGGTGTCACTGCCTGGCCTTCTCGGTCCACATTTCATTCATTTTTAAATCTGCCTTCCCCCCAAACACATTTCCATCTAATTCACACTGTATACTTTCTCCTTCTCCTGCAGAAAGGAATTATTTTGTAGAACTTTAAAGCTAAAAGAGACATTGCATCCTTACTTCTTTTAAGTAAGGAATATAGCTTAGAGAGTGAAAAGTGAGTTGCCAAGATCATCAGAATCAGGGCTGAGGTTGGGACAGGAATCCGTGTCATCTGGTGCAGATAATTCTGTGTGCCTGCACTTGACCACATCCTGCAGGGATAACCTGAGTATTAAATTGACAATTATGCAAAGATAGAAGCACTACAAAAGAGACACTCTGTGGTCTGAATTAAGATTGATGTCCTCAAGGGAAAGCTAGAAATACTTTGGGGCACAAGGCTTTGAAGTTTGCAATCAGACCAGGTTGTCAGGCACCAATGGGACTCATCCATGGATCACATTCCCCATGATGTCCCCCAGTCAGACTCTGATTGACTCTCTAAGTCCATCCCAGGAAAAAATGGTGGTCAGACGTAGCCCTTAATTTCTGGGTATTCTATCTGCTTTCCCTTATCATTTTAATTTAGAAGGCTTCCCGGGCATCATGAATTTGTCATGAAATTCCTAAGGGACTATAATACCGAAAACTTCCATGACAGTTTGTTAATGCCAGTATAACTCACAGTGAAATGTAGTATTGTGGAGGAAGCTGGGGGGAAGCCAGGAGGCATAGAGTCATACCTACATGGCCTGCCTCCCCCACAGCTATGGAATTGTTTCAGGGTAGCAATCACCAACAGGGGAAACGCCACACCCTGACTCCGAAGCCTCCCCCAATGATCTCCCATTAGTTTCTGATTCTTATCAAAACTGCAATCCCCTTTGACATTCTTTAATTCCTTCCCCTTTCAGATCAGTCCCTAAAACATGCTCAGCTGTGTTCTCCGCCTTCCTATTCTAGAAAATAAGACTGGCAGCAAGCCCCCAGAGTTGAAGGCAGGTTGCAGGAAGGTTTCCTTGGACTCAAGGCCCCAGATTTTCACTCTGAGCTGGGTTTCACCTAGGCTCTCTTGGAGAAGTTGGTAGTGCTCACTGCTCTGCTGCCTCTTCGTTTCTTTGCTGTGCCCATGAACCTACTGAATGCAAAATGAGAGCTCTTCCCTCATTTGAATCTGTGCTTACAGTCCCTAATTAAATAATAACTTTCACAGCATTGTGCTGCTCTAAGCCTGAACAGCACTTCCATTACCTCTTCTTAACTGAAGTCAAAATTACAGACCTGTCATTTCCTGGATTTTCTCATAAATGCAAGCATTAAATTATACCTACACTCACCCATTAGTAACTTCTCTTTGCGGTGGGTGTTTTAATGTCTTATAATGACTCCACTATCTCTTCGACTTTCCAGCTCTCTCAGAATATTAATGAATTCTGCCTTGCCTTGTTCTAGAGCTCCTGTCTAGTTTGTCTTCTAATTTCTTGATGTAACATGAATTTGATTGTATAAAGTTCTCTCTCTCTCTCTCTCTTTTTTTTTCTTTCTTTCCGGGGAAGAAAAAAAAAGAGAAACCTCTTCTTACACAGGAAAATTGCCATGCTTCTGGGTAAAGTGAGAATCTGAAATGAGAGAAATCATCTTTTGGGTTTCAAATTGTCTTTTGGCAAAAGTGGCCCTTCAGTCATATTGGACCCTCTCTCTGAGGAATTTAATCATGTTTTGACACTTGCCCACACTCGGATGACAACACTTGTGTCCTGTTTGTGTCACACACATGGACCCTTTTAATCTTCACAGTATCCCTAAGAGAGAGGTCCTATGATCGTTCCTGTTGTTCAGCTGAGGAAACTACGGCAAAGAGGTTAATGGGCTTCCCTCAAGATATCACAGTTAGCAGGCGCCAGGTGCAGTCTGAACCCAAGCAGTCGGAATCCAGTTATTTGTCAGGGTTTCCT